ATATACATATATAAAAATAGCATGATGAATCGAGACACAGACATTCTTTAACTCAATAAATATGGTAGTAATATTTATCTTTTTAAAGTATATTTTTGAGATTATGTTACAATGCAGGTCTACACTGTCCAAGATAGTAGGAAAGGTAATGCAAAGCAATTTAAAAAAATGGAGTTTCCATGTCATTATTAAAGGCACAAAAAGCCTTTTACTATCTTTTCATTATCAATAAAAACCTTTCATTTGAGGTTTCTAGGCAGAGAGGGTGATTTATAGATTTTTAAAAATCTAAATCATTCATATTCATTCACGTTGACTTATTGATTAAGCAAACCCTTACTAAGACAACACCTATTTTTTGTATTTTTTTTATTCCCAAGTAAGAGAGAGTAGGCCACTTTATCTAGTAACATTGACATGAATTCCACTAACACTGACCAGGTCACAGATGATTTTCTCAGTCTCGATCACTGTCCTCTCCACCATACATATCTGCTAGTTTTTTAAACCGAGGTCCCCAGTCACTGAGGTAATCATAGTCTTGATTGCCTTCTGTGGTAAGTGATTCCAGGCTGCTGAGTGAATTTGCTATGGAATCATTTCCTTCATAGGCATATGTTGCTAATGAATCATAAGGGGGGGCAGTTGGGTCTAAATCATTTTCCTTTAATCTTCTATGAATAAAATCTTGGACATCAATGTTTTCCCAAAGAGGTGCAGTCCGCCTTATCTGAAATATCGTTTCTGGGATAACATCTCTTCTCATCTTACTCTCCTCCCTCGCTTCTGGATTTCTGAGTGTGCCAATGTCAAAAGCCTGGGTGTCTTCTTCCCCACCTCCTTCATCATTGTAGGTCACAATGTTGTCCCGAACATCATCCTTTGAGATGATCAAGGGTTCTTTCTTCCTCTGCCTCTTAAGAGCTGTAAACAAGACAACTAATACTGAAAGGAAACAAAAGATGAATAAAGAAATGGCTAGTTAGAAACTAAATAAACGAGTAGTTGTTTTACATCATCTGTAGAACTGGAAATGTTTTAAGGCTGGAATAGGATTTTTAGTAGGAAAATAGTGATAAAATATATCACCAAGATGAAATTCAAAAGGAAAAGTATTAATGATTTTATAGCAGTCAAAAATGCATTTTAAGTAAATATACAATTCAGCTGAAGTTGAAAAGTAGACAATGTGTTACAATATGCATGCCATTAGGGTTTGACTTTGATTTTAATTTTGTGAAATACCACATTTCAGGCAGTCACCACGGGTGATTTCATCACATGTAGTTGAATCTCCTTGGCAAAAGAAATTCACACTCTTCAAAGCTAGTGATTTAGGTATTCCGAAGTGCCTAATTCACTTTTGGATATGGGATCTACAGGTCCTCCCTCAAATAAGAACCTGAAGACCTTCAGCTATCAGTGTTATTGACAAAACTATTTTTGGTCTCAATGACTGCAAGAATTTAAATCAAATATTTGTTGCTAAACGTTTCTTTTGAAAAACATGATCCCCCTAGTTTAAGAAGTGCTAGTTGAATGACTTTCATCTGAAGAGGTAAGGTTTGACACAAAAAAATGGACCTCTAGAAAGGGAGATGAAAAAAATGAAGTTAGGATTTGTAAATACATTCTAGTGTCTAAATGCTCTTGATTTCAGTAGGAATTCAATGCTTAAATGCATTTAAAAATCTGGCCCTATAACTGATGTAAATAGGAGAGGTCAGAAAGACCATCTGTCAATGTGGCATACCACTGGTTGCTGAACCACACATTATAGCAGTGCTGAATGCTTTTATTGAGTCTTAGAAGCTAAATTTTTGCTCTGAATGAACTTAAGAACTGGTGAATAAAAGCAAAGATTGGACATGCTGCTGGTAGGGAGAGGGGAACTGAGATCTTCCACATGTCATAGTATAATGTTGTGAATATAAAGGCCGTTCTGTTCTGTTTGCTTTCATTTCTTTGTATCTGTACATGTGCTATTCTTTTCAAGTTTTCCTAACGCTAGACAAGATATAGCCCACTTATGTTCAAGAACATCATATACAAGACAACAGCAGATCACTGAAAGGTTGTTATGAAGAAGTGTCTTTCATAGCCAGGTACTTAATGTGTCTCCTATGTTGGGCATATTGACACTAGTCTACTATTCTGACACACTACACCTTGTAGAACAATTAAATAAGATGTTGAGTATCACACTAGCTGTAGATCAACAATTCTGTTTAGATGTTCTACCTCCATATGCATCTTTGGCTTCAGATATGTCTGTAGTGCTAAGCAGAGCAGGGATTCTAACCCTGGGGCTGAGACACAAGAAGTGGTCATACTCGTTTTGCATGGCACTGGTCCTGTTTTGAGTCTCGTGTGCTATGACTGTGGTTCTAAGGCACGCCTTGATTTTTGATTTTAGTTCAATCTTTCTGCACTAAAGCATTGCAGCTGATCAGAGAAATGTTTTCACTGTGAATGTGTTTCATGCTTCACATTTCATGTTCTGTGTTGGGGTGTGAAGGATGGCTTTGAAGATGCAGAGCCTGTTGACATGGTGTTAAGAATTATGCAACGTGGAGAGCTAAGTCTGGCAGAGTTTGAACCATAATTGTCAGTTGGAAGTGGTGCCCTGCAGTGGTGCTCAGACTATGCCTGGGCAATGTTCCAGCCTGGCTAAGGCTGAAACTAAGCCAGCAGCAATGCTTGAACCTAAACAGTATGGACAATCAGTTGGTCAGAGCTCAAGTATCCCCTCTTCCCTATGCCCAAAAGTACAGATACAGTTCTTAGATATTGCCCCTCTCCGAATAACATCTATGCTCCTCTTGATACTTACTGGAGGTAGCTTGAATATAGTTTAAAAACTGGGGGGGGAAAAAGAGATGTCATAATTGTATAAACTGACACCTGTAGCTTCTCACTGCTCCCTTGGTAAGTTGTGTTTGCTAGGGCAAGTGGAAAGGCAAAGAGGTTTTCACTAGAATTTTCTGGAAAGTAGAGATGATGGTACTTTTAGGGAGACACATATCTGGTATGAAAAACATGCAAGTTGCAGTTTTAATTTTCTTAAGACCAGGTTATGACCTAGCATTTATTCTAGTTTCTTCATATATCACCACATTTTTCTAATGCTTTTACCCTCCAACCACTCATCTAAATTCTGTGCTCACAGTTTATTTCATCAGCTGTTCTCATTACCCCCTGCAAACAATTGATAATTTCTATTCTCTGCTTTTGAACTAAATATTTCTGAGCAGAAAAAAATTACAAATCATGTATCATTAAGTAGCTAGCATAATTTACAACATCTAATGACTGCAAAACCTAGCACTTAACTTTGGGAATATTATTTTAAAGTTCTGGATCTAAATGAAGATGTGATTGTAACACAAAAATTACCCAAATAAGCATGGTATCTAAAAATGACCCTATATTTTCAAACTTATTTAATCTATACTGTATTGTCTCATTCTTTTTGCACATTCTTCTGTATAGTAATTATGATAAACAGCCCATAGTAACTTCCTCTCCCAGTCTCCCAGTTCCTCTTCCCATTAAAAAAAGCTTGGGAAAAAAAATAAGGAAAAAAGTGACCACATCAGGTATGAAATATTGTTCTGCAGGGTCATGTGAATAAGGGGCTTAAGAATATCAGGGGTATAAAGTGACTAGAACTTTGCCTAGTCAAGTAAACATCTCATCACAGGTACTTGCCCAGCAGGATAATGATGCAGAGGAGAATGGCAACCAGTGCCCCCGTGCTGAGGCCAGCAGGGAGGAGCAAGGCCTCAGCATTGCAGGACTGCATGTTCCCGTGGCTGTCGCAGGCACACACCCGAATGGTCAGTGTGCCCGTGCTGCTCTGGATCGGGTAGTCGTTGTCAAATATTATGATTGGCAGAAGGTAGGTGCTCATCTTACTACGACTGTATCCTTCTAGTCATTTTGTTATCTAGAATGGAAAATCAGAATCAATAAATGTTTCTGAATTAAATTTTATGTGATGTTGGGGTGGGGCTGATATGGTCAGCAGTTACCTTTGTTGTCTACAATGGAGAAGTTCGGATGAACAGCAAATTCTGGCGCCAACTCAAAGAAAAATTTGTGTCCTTGAGGAGGCTCATCTTTGTCAATTGCACTCACAGTCTGTATCAGCTATAAAGAAAAAAGTATGTCATGGTATTTTTGAAATCTTGTGTTTCAAATCTCTGTTTTTCATGTCCAGTAAAAATCCAATGGATCTCTATCTGAAGACACAAAGTAATGTCCTAAGCCAAATGTTTCCCGCCTAAACACAGAAGAGGTTATGGTAAACAAATAGTTGGTTTATTGTTTAAACACACAAGGAAGGATGAAAAAGGGTCCAGTCCTCACTGCAAAACAGCTGTGTGCTTTGATTTGTACTTAGTATCTTGCAGAGAAAAAGAAACAATTGCCCTTCCGAATAAGCCATAAACCTCCTGTGGCCTCATGTAGCAATGACAGAGAGTAGTGTGTAAACCAGTTGTTAAGTGGGTCTAATTCCCAGTCCACCTCATCTGCTCCTGCCGATAAATTGGAGTAGTGCACTGGCAGGATGCTCAGTTCTCCTGAGGTAATAAAAAGAGATGCTTTACTCCTTCCTAAATTGAAACCTCTGGCTGTGGAGCTTAATAGCTGCACTAACAAGGCCACTCAAGCCCAGCTGGGAAGGAGTGATAATAGTGCCAGAATAGGGTCAGAGTAAAGTGGGCAAAAAAAGAAAGGCTTCATCAGTACCTCTGGATCGCACAAGCTTTCCTGTTGTATCAAAATGTGCAAATATGTGTACTCCTGTATATATAGACATACATATATTCTAACAATTTGATTCTTTTTATATCGCCTGTTTGACAGACAGATAAGGGAAACAGCTACAGAACTGAGGAAGGAAAAGCTAACTGGGAATAGCTGTGGTTTCTGAATTGACTTGCAACTGTTAACACTATGCCAGGTTGCATGAGTCACAGTAACTCCAGTAGGCTGTATGAATGTCTGTTCTGTCCTTTGCCCTCCCTTATGGATATCACACTAGAGAGTGACCCATACTCCACCTTGGCTTGCAAGAACATGTTTGAGTTCAATAACAAGATGGAAAAGCTTGGGGGTATAAGAATGGGAGTAAGTCACAACTGAGAATGCTGCAACATAGTACAGGTGCATTCCTATGGCACGTAAACATAAAGGCAGAATGAGTTCAGCAGTCAGACTTGTTTTATCAAAGCCATGATGGAGCCAATGACTGTCTTGAGTTTTCAGGTGTTTCCAGTGTGCAGGGTGTCTTCAAATCCCACAGATATCAAAGCTGCTTGCTATCAAAGACTTGTGGCTTGTTTATCTCTCATTTCCAGGGAAGATACAGCATGACATCTTCAAGAAATAGAATAATTGACAAGTAGCCCTAATGTGATCTTTAAGCTTTGCAGAAATCAAATAAGGAATACCTTTTTCTTATGTACTTTTTCAGAACATCAGCTTGAGTGGGACTTGAGGACACAGTTAAATTTTGTATGGTGTTTAGTATCTCACACAATAGGGCTACAAAAAACACTGAAGTGTTTTTCTTACTGCATCATTCAGAAAGCTACTGCTGCTAGAGTTGTACTGCACCATGAGTATTCAGCCCATTTTTTCTAGTTCATTTTGGGATACTTTTATTACCGTTAATAATATTAAGTTGTAATGAAAAAAAAACCACCATGAAAACAGTAGAGAGGCCTAAGTTTGGCTCACTCACTTCCTAGCAGTTCCTTCTAAAAAAATCACAATATATTTTAGCTTATAATTTCTTTTTCTTTTTGAGGCATATTGAAGAACTTGAAAGGTAATTTGTGAACATCAGCCTTGCACAAAAGGATGTGACTATGCTGAAGGCAGGATTATGCAGTTTTGTTAAGTGTAATTAGAATAATAACTACGTATTAAGATTTCTTCACTTTTAAAGATTTGAATGATCATTGCTCTTCAGTTTTTGCTGGTTTGGTTTTTTTGGTTTTTTTTTTGTTTGGTTTTTGTTTTGTTGGATGTTTTAAATTTTGTAGCTGTATCTCAGGATTAGTCAAATCCCTATTTATGGCAAAATATCCTGTTCATTCTGTTTCTGAGTCTCTTATTATGGCAACATTTTTCTAATGTCCCATTGATTTTGTCTTTGCTGTAATCTGCCTCTGAGACTGTTAATAGAGAAAGCAAGATAAGGATGGGGTTAAATTTTAGCTTTGCATAGCTTATTAATATTGCTAAAAATTTTTTTAAACATCATTCTGAAAGGACTAAGATACGAAATTTAAATCAAACATTCTCCTTTCACATTTTCACAGGTTTAAAAAGACAGACATGATTCAAAAGTACCAGAAAGAAGAGTGAAAATTAGAGTAAGTGACAATATTTGTGTAATGACTTGCTGAAAAACTCAAGGAGAAAATATCCTGATGTAATAAATACCAGAAATTACAGTTGAGTATCACAGTACTTTTTAAGACATAATCATTTGGGTGTTTGTAGAATCTGGATTTGATGCCCTTCATTTGCAAATCACACAGGGAAGCACAATTGTAGCAGGCAAAGAGAAACCTAATTACATCAAGAAATTGTTGTTGAGAGTAAAGCTGAAGAAAAAAAACCCAATCTTATTACCTATTCTAACTACTGGCTGCATAAATTGAGAACCAGCTGTTCTTCCACCAGAAAAGATGGGAGAATAAAAGAACAACTAGAAAGCGTGATTGCAGGTGAATTGTTCCAAATGATGAATAGGTGAAAATAGAAATGTTATCTAATTAAGGATTTATTTCTTTCAGTTACACAGACGTAAATACAAGAGAATGATGTTAATGATAACCACTGCAGAAATGAAAGAGATCTGGCTATTTTTAAGTATCATATTTACGTGAAAAAAATGTAGTAGTGTTTCATGTACATTTTGTAGTTTCATGTTGGAAATATATTCTTTCATTTTGATACAGTTTAGGACCTTGAATTATGAACACTCTCCACCAGAACTTCAGAGCAAGAACTCTGATGCTGTAAGATTTATGAAGAAAGAGTTCTTTCAAGAAAATGACTTTTACTCAAATATACTTCAAGCATATCAGGCTTAGAGAAGATAAAAAGCATTCCCATTCTTTTCTTTCCTTCGTACTTTCCCATGTGAATGAGGACAATTTAGAAAATACAGCATTGTTGTCTCTATTTTGAGGGCTGTGTATGCATGTGCATGTGAAATTCTGCATCTTTAAATGAACAGTCTTATGCTCTTGAGTTGATCTTATTAGGTGAGATCAGGTTATTAGGGATCACTTGTCTTTGAGGGTACTGAAAACCTAAATGTAAGCATTGACATAAAGTTTTCTCTTTTGCAATAAAGACTAAGTGTTTGTAGCAGTTTGACAATTGTGAATGAGGAATTATTCCCACAGGAAACATTTATTTAATATCTTGGGACCAGTGTTCTTTAGCCATGGTCTCTACTCTGACAGAGACTGGTGTCTTGGGACACTGTTTTTTTTTAGACTGTTATGAATTACATAGTGAGATTGAGTGCACCCTTGGCAAGTGTGCAAATAACACAGAACTGAGTGGTGCAGTTGACACAACAGAAGGAAAGGATTCCATTCAGAGGGACCCGGACAAACTTGAGAAATGGGTCCGCAAGAAGCTCATGAAATTCAGCAATTCCAAGTGCAGGGCCCTGTACCTGGATTGGGACAATCCCAGATTTAGGTACAAATTGGGAGGAGAACTCGCTGAGAGCAGTCCTGCAGAGAAGAACTTTGGGCTTCCGGTAGAAAAAAAAAGCTAGACATGAGCTGGCAATGTGCATTCACAGCCTAGAAGGTCAACTTCATCTTGGGCTGCACCAAAAAGAGTGTGCCCAGCTGGTTGAAGGAGGTGATTCTGCCCTCTACTCTGCCCTTGAGAGACCAAAACCTGGAGCACTGTGTCCAGATTTGGGGCCCTCAGCACAAGTGAGATGTGGGCCTGTTGAAGCAAGTCTGTAGGAGGGAAACATAGATGATCAGTGGGCTGGAGCAAAGACAGGCTGAATGGGTTGAGGTTGTTCAGCCTGGAGAAGAGGAGGCTCTGGAGAGAATTCATTGTGGCCCTCCAGTACTTAAAGGGTGCTTATGAAAAAAAGAGGAAGATCAACTTACACAGGCAAACAGTGATAGGACAAGAGGGAATGGTTTTAAATTTAAAGAGGAGAGATTTAGATTAGAAATTATTTACTCAAAGGATAGTGAGGCACTAAAACATGTTGCCCAGAGACATTGTAAACGTATGTGTGAATGGCCTCTTTCCCATTGGCATCATTGTTTTTCAAACATGGAAATGGTTCAATTGTAATACTGTTTTGTGTTTGGTTGGTTTATTTTTCTCCTGGATGCCATGTTTTTAAGGCCATGACTTACACCACAGTCAAAATTGCGATTGTACTTTATGATCAGGCTATTTTATAGCTATTCATACTCATGTCTGAGAAAATGATTGGGGCTGAATACATTGCCTAGTAACAGATTCTTTATGTATAACTTATACATCCCTAGACAAGGCTGCTCTCCAGTTTTCTTCAAGATGTTTTAAAGACAGAAAGCAAGTAAAAGCTAGATAGGGGAATACTGAAACAGCAAGGGACCCTGTGCACTTCAGATAATGCTGTTAGTGTTCCTGAGGCTGCATTTGTGGACACAGAGAGCTGCACAAGAAGACTTGGGTTGTAGGCTCAGCCTTGGGAATGCCTTTAAAAGGAATATAGAAACCATTAAAGCAAATATTAAGCTAGTAGTGCATATTTAACAGTACAGAGGTCAGCACCAGCTAGCCACTTTTTAGATAGGTTTTTCAGCCTTTGCTGGCTTGGCATGTCATGCAAATAAACTACAGTTGCACATTGGCTCCAGGGTATACGCTTTTAAAATGTAGCCACATATTTCAGACAGATTCTTGCAAAGTTCACTGAAAAAAGTTGAAGAAGATGAGGTCCATGGCTGGACAGACACAATGTATTTTCTGGTTAAACATTTATTTCAATAAAACAAACCTGGGACAAATCGAACATCTGCAATGAGATCTGCTGCTATTTCTTTTTAAAACAGTAGCATATTGGTAGCTGCTATCTTATTTTTAAACATCTTTTA